AGGGTAGGGGGTAAGGGTATAGATGACCCATGAGGCAGACTAAGAAGGGTTTAGGATGGGGCGCCAGATGTCACTGATGGTGAAGCCTGTGTCTTGCTGTTCTTGTGAATCTCAATTGCCTCACGAACACGGCGTGGATGCCATTGCTCTATGTTGGCAATGAGATGGGCTTGTTGCCAGTGGACTTGGTGGTCTTCAGTGCTTGAATGTTTGATGATGGCAGATTTCTCGAGATCCCCCCGTCGTCCGTGGGCTCGGTGTTCATTGAGTCTACCTGAGCAACCGGTCATTCCACCATCCCAGCATCAAGGCCTCCGTCAACACAACACTCGCACGTCGAGCATACAACATCTGCGACCAAGACCACCTACAACCAGAACTCCATCACATCTCCACAGCACTACAGCGGAACGGGTTCAAGTCAAGACAGAACAAGACCCTAGATCCCCCTCCAGACCAGCCGGTCTCCTATACCCAAGGTCAACCCTTTAGGCACATTAGTTCTGTCACCCTCCCCTACGTAGGCAATACCTCCCACCGGATCCAGCGCATCCTTCTACACCATGTATGAAATCTAAGTTTTCTGCCATTTCTGTTTTATTTTAGCATCCTTTACTGTACTTTTGCATCCTGTGAAATAATAAAAAATTAGAGGTTCTAACCAGGTGTACTTGAAAACAATATTATTCTCATTTGATTATTAAAAGAACATCTCGAAGTACATGTAGGAAATATGCCTTTTGCCTGAGGAAATGTTTAGGCGTCGATCACTTAGAGAACCCTCCACTTATTTTTTTACCGAGTCAGACAAAACTGATGCAAAATGTCAAAGGTACTGTGTTGGCCTTTTCCGAAATCGCAAGTATGAAAAAGGCTATCATTCTTTTCCCTTCCTAAAACTCTCAATTTGGTCATGAGCAAGTAAATATCTTGCCAGAAAGATCCACCTCGAGAAAAGAAGAGACCTTGAACGTGTACACATGAACAAGCATGACCGTATTCGGCATATCACGGAGCGTGCAGCTATTTTTAACTCTGAAATTTTGCACACGCATTATATACATCATTCATCTTGGTACAGAAAACCTGCAACTTCATTTTTGCACGCAAGAATGTATGATTCCGCTCTGAAAAGACCCATGTAACCATTTACACCCTTTTCTAACAAAATAATACATATTTTAAACTACATCGCACTCTCGTGAGGTCACGAATTAATTTGTACAGCGTGACTGTTCACAAGTGAGTCCGCAAGGTCACCACAATGTTTCCAATTCTCAGACACAACTAATAATTGAAATACACCTGGCACCATCCATATGACAATGATCTTAGTTGTCTGTTGTGGGCGTAAATTCCGCCCTTCGTAGTTAATGCCACCATCCCCCATGACAGTTTCACAAAACCTTCCATTTTTTTTATTCTCAGTAAAAATGTGCTACCCCTAACGCCCCCTGAAACGACAAGAGCGAAAAATTTGCCCTCGAAAAGAGTAAGTCCCTTATACAACCACTTCAGAGAGGACAACTTCAATTCGTGAAAACCACTCTGAAGGAGGAGTGAAATGTCTTCTCTGCGGAGGAGCCATTAAAAAGAGAACTCGAAAAAAGGGGTGTCCTTGGTAATGGCTCCTTTTTGAGTGAGTTTCACTCTGTTGGAATGGTTTTCACTCCTTTTAGAGTGGATTTTGAAGCCACTTACCCCTTTTGAGAGTGGGTTTTCACTGTTTTGCCTTCACAGTATGTTCGGGTTCGACCAAATTTGGGGCGCAGAATCAACAAATCATTTTGTGCGAGTGTCAGTCAGGTCACAAATCATTATTTGCGAGGACAATCCAAGTCACACCAGAAGGCAAGTCGCAAGTGTCTCTGTCCAGGTCCACGTCAAGTTGCACATTATATCAGTCACTCATCAGCAGGGCAGATCAGCATGAGAAGCATAGCTACGAGCCAAACTAAATGTTTTATTCAATCCACGCAAGGCGTGAACTGTAACCTTTTGTGTAAATTAATTCCTGTCTGATGTGCACGGACGAACAAAGAGCTTAGTAAAGGATGCACACAATGAACCCTAACAAATTCTCGTAAAATGGCCTTATGCTTGTTGAACAGAATCTCTATAGTGCGTAATCTCTACACGCACTCCAGCCTATTGTCACTTAACACCCCCCATGTCTGAAAAGAATTTCTGAGATACCAGTATAACTATGACCAACACAAAGGTGTGTGTGGGGGGGGTCTCTCTGTCCCGTAGTTTGCTTCATAAGCAATTTGAAGTTTTTACATGTACATTTACGC